GAACCCCGGTGGCGGCTCAGAAACACTCAGCGGATGCTGGAGTAGTGCCTCCCGATCAATAGAACTTTGATGCCTGACTCATCAGCTGTTCATGCTTACTTCTTCAGCCAGACAGATTGTGAAGCCATAATAATGCGTTTGTGAAAGAAGTAATTACGAAAGCAGCACTTCCCCGATAATTTCCAGAATTGGATTTGCCTGCCAACAAAATTTTTAAATCGACATCTCCCCCAGTTAGACATCCGGACGGAGTGGATTTAGTATTCCCTGAAATCCAGAAATTTCAAATTTTCCACATTTACATGAGTTTCTCGGGCCGGGGCTCAATTCGATAAGATAAATAAGATATTTTTATGATAAAAAAAACTAATAAAATGTTGAAAAAAATTTTTTTAACGGTAAAAAATGTTTCGGTCCATTAAGTCGTATACATTTCTTACCATTACCACAATTGGACCTCGATATCATACTTTTATCCTCTAATAAAGCCCACCGGAAAACTGGATCAATATTCGTCGCCTGGTGAATGATTGGGAAAAGATTGGTAATTCTTGGCGAAATCAGACCCTGGATTTTCTGATGCTTTTCACTGAAGGGCACATGACGCTGCGGTAGAAATCGGAAGATTTTTCCCAAAAATCACTACACTTAAGTACCACGGTACTCAAGGAAAGATTTTTCACTGAAGGGCACTTGCCTCTGTGGAAGAAAACCGAAAGATTTTTGTCCCCGAAAATCGTGGCATTCAAAGATTCTTGTTTTCCCACTTTCTTCAGTGTTTACAGCTTAGGGATGAAAAACAGACAAGCTGTTTTCCACATACACCACATAACATTTCCTCTTCACATGTCACACTGTTTTTTGGTACATGTTCAACACTACTGTCTTCTTCACCCTATTACATTTCCCTCTCCCTTCCAATTTAATAAAATTCAACGGGTTTTGGATCTACGTCATCTTATGCACGTCCTGGTTAGAGCCACCCAGTACCGTCTCAGCCCCTACATTTCCAAATTCCATCCGCCCCCAGGGCCCAAACGGCCCATGGGGTCTTTTTCTTTCCGCTTTCTTCAGGTTTACTTGAATGATTTTCGCCTGAAAAAAAAGTCCAATTTTCTAAATTTTTTCATATAAGTTTTATTTTTTTCCAGAAAGTTATTCAGTCGGTCAGTCAGTTAGTTGTTTGACTACCGGTCATTCGGTCACCTGATTTACCGAACACTCCAGTGTTTACTCAAAGATGCAATTATAAATTAGCGGAATGTAAGGGCCCATTAGATGGCCAAATGAAAAATGCACGGTCCAAGTGAGGCGGCCGAACTGGGTGAAATTGATAAAAATTTTTTTCCGGCGTTTGATAGGGCGAACTCGCTAATTTATAATCGCATTTTCGATTAAACACTGGAGCATCGGGTAATCGGATGACCGATGGTCAGCCAACTAACTGGTTGACCGAATGGATAATTTTTTGGAAAAAAAAATAAAACTTATATGAAAAAATTTAAAAAAATGAACTTTTTTGAAGCAACGACGGCCAGCCAGAGCTGTAGAAAATACGGGATTTTTTGGACGAGTAAAATGACGTTTTTTGCGATTTTTTTTTTGCAGGGCAACAAAATGAATCCGTTGACAGCGATAAAAAATCAGAATAAAATCACCGAACGGGAACTGCTACTGGGAGGGG